CACCAAAGATACTATATCTGGTGGTGCAAGACCCTAGGTTTCAACCCACATCTTTGTCCTCAGTATTTTTGCTTATTTGCTTTTTTGTTGCTTCCTAATGATGTCTCCTAAATGCCAGAATAAGGACATCAGTCTGGTCATGCACTAACCTTGCTCTGTGTCTGGCAGACAAGGACACATATCAGTGAAGCTCTTAATCTATGGAACTGCTGCTTACCCATATGGGAACAAAGCCTCAGCACCTCCAAGTCCACTCCCACCCCAGAGAGCTTAGTTATAAAAGCTAAAGCAATAAGTAAGTTGAGAAGTAATAAAATGCTAAAGGTTTCCTAGGAGAAGATAATGTAGCAGCATTCATTCAATCTTGGAAAAGGCCCTAAGGCATAAAGGCCAGATGCAGAGCTTAATATAACTGAGAGTGTATCCGCAGAGAATCTGTCTTCAACTTGGAATGAGATTAGTAATCATTAGCATTTACTCTAGCCAGTTTTTAGAAATATTTGAGATTAGAGCACACATAAGAATGTATAAGGGAAGATAGCTTCCTTTTCCACTGTCAAGTTCTGCTGTCTGAAGGCTTTGCCTCCACTGCTCTCATCCATTCCTCCTCCTCACACCAGAGCCCAAAGGACCTTCCAAGTTCAGAGTCTAATCATACAATTTCCCTCATTGCCTGTCTCCTGTTTAAACAAAAATCATATTTAAGCCCATAATAAAAGTTGATTGAAATTTATTGACTAGATGATTTGCAAATTGGGATAACATTTCCACTCACCATCATCACCCACTGCCATCAAGTTGATTTCATCTCACAGTGACCCTTTAGGACAGTAGAACTGCCCCATAGGGTGTCCAATGGTATAAATCATTATGGAAGCAGATTGCCTCATCCTTCTCTTATGGCAAAGCTGGTGTGTTTGAACCACTGACCTTTTAACCATTCTGCCACCAGAGCTCCTTAACATTTTGACTGAAGAATCAAAAATGTTCTCAAGGTGGGATTGATTACATTGATTACATCCCTATACCAAATCTTATCGGCACTGCCATGGAAAAAAGGGCAAGACAAAACTGATAAATTTATGGTCAGGAACAATTTTCATACAGTGTTGTCTTGATGAACAATTAAAATAATTACTGATTTATCCTAAACATAGCTCCCAGTTTGACGTTTGAAGTCTGCTTCCTCAACTGACTGAATTATTCAGAAGAATACGATGCCCAAGGCAGAAGCCCCTATTAGTTTATGTAGACCATTGTTTGACTAAAAGATGACTTTAGAAACTAGTTTCTTCAAGTCTCAAAGTTCAAAAGGACACCTAAGGGCAACATTCTTTGTGGGATACCCCACCTTTCATAAAAATCAGAAATCTGGATTCTGGGAGACTCAAAATGGATTTCCCCTTCCCCATGACTTTCCCTGTCAAATTCAAACTGCTTTGCCCAGCACAAAAGGCCCCTGGTGATCTGACAGAAACTTTACCTCCACCCCCCACATCACCACCACACCTTGCCCCAGTGCCTTAACCAATAAGCAAAGCCAGCATGGGCTTACTTGTGCTTTTATGCTTACTTTGTTGTTGTTGTTAGGTTCCATCAAGTCTGCTCTGACTCATAACGACCCTCTGTACGACAGAACGAAACACTGCCCTGTCCTGAACCAACTTCACAATCCTTGCTATACCTGAGCCCATTATTGTAGTCACTGTATCAATCCATCTTGTTGAGGGCCTTGCCTTTTTTTGCTGAGCCTCCATTTTACCAAGCATGATATCCTTCTCCAGGAAATGGTCCCTTCTGACAACGTGACCAAAGTAGGTGAGATGAAGTCTGGCCATTCTTATTTCCAAGGAATGTTCCAGGTGCACTTACTTAGTTAGTTAGTAACTATAGTTAGTTAGTAAGCACAAGTAAGCCCATCCTTACCTCTGACTTTGTACAAGTATTTTTGGCTGTAGATTAAGGTTTTGAATGCAAGTTTTCTAACCCCTGATCAAATACACCCCAGATCAAATATATCCCTGATCAAAATGCAGCTGTACTGGTTTCATTTGAGTCCAGTATCACTTTGTAAAAATTGGATATAATTTTGGCTGCCTGTGTGAACTTGACCTTCTCTAGCAGTTCATTGGGAGAAGTGGACAAAGTAATCACCCTGTCTTTTTTGTTTCAAGAGTCTATTAGTCATTTATTCTTCGGGCTTGTAGCATATGAATAATAAAAAATATTAATTGCCAGCATATTTTAATAATTAATATGTTATAAGAGAGTTTTAAGGCCCGTACATGTATTAAACCTTCTACGCCCCTGGTAGCATAGTACCTAAGGCACCTGACTGCTAACCAGAAGGCTGGTGGTTCAAACCCACCAGCCACTCCTCAGAAGGAAGGTTGGGCAATCTACTTCTGTCATGATACAGCCTTGGAAACCCAAGGAGGGGTCGCTATGAGTCTGGTCCAACTCAACGGCACATAACAACAACAACACACCTCATAGCAACTGTTAGGGATTGAATTATGTCCTCCAAAATATGACTTGGAATCCTAACCCCTATACCTGTGAATGTAATCCTGTGTGGAAATAAAGTTTTCTTTTTTATGTTAATGAGGTCCTATCAGTATATGGAAGGAGTCATGGTGGTGAAATGGTTAAATGCTAAACTGCTAACTAAAAGGTCAGTGGTACAAACCCATAAACCACTCCCAGGAAGAAAGATGTGTCAGTCTGCTTCTATAAAGATTGTTTTTGTTGTTATTATGTGCCATCAAGTCGGACCCGACTCATAGCGACCCTTCCTTGGGTTTCCGAGGCAGTATCACTACAGAAGTAGATTGCCCCATCTTCTTTCTGAGGAGTGGCTGGTGGGTTTGAACCGCCAGCCTTCTGGTTAGCAGTCAAGTGCCTTATGCACTACACTACCAGAGCTTAAGGATTATAGCCTTGAAAATCCAATGAGGCAGTTGTGTTCTGTCATATAGGGTCTCTAGGAATCAGAATAGACTCGAAAGAAGCAGGTTGGGTTTATCTTTTATTTTTAAATCAATGTAAGATATGTCTTAAACTTAATCACTTTGGAGTTATGCAAAGAGCAAGTTAGAAGCAAGCATAAATGGAGGGGGAGGGGAACAGACAGTATCTGTCAATGGTAGAAGCAGATGACTCTACCAGACCAGGAACTCCAAGGATTGCTGGATACTTGAGCTGAAATGGCCCTAGGGGGTGGCCTCAGGCCTCAAGCAGTCACCTGCCACACCCAAGACTGGCAGTTCAAATCCACCAGCCACTCCCCGCCAGGTAGCCCGGCAGTCTCTTTGGAAGCTCTGGTGGCATAGTGCCTAAGGCACTTGACTGCTAACCAGAAGGTTGGCAGTTCAAACCCACCAGCCACTCCTCGGAAGGAAGGTTA